CAACCATATAGAATGGCACGTAAATCCAGCCAGTGAATGTCAGCTGGTAAAATTAGAGGGATTTGTTAAAGGGCAGCAAACTTGCTATTTTTTGAGTTACTGTTATATTCTGATGTGGAATTTCTTCCATAAGTATCAAATTGTCTTGATTCCTGTTGGAATCTGTTCCTGCTCATCTTTGAACATCTAGTCTAAAGAAAACGGTTGGTCAAATTCCGAGGGGTCTTGTGGCAAAAGTTACTAAGAATGCTGGGATAAAGTCTGCTAAAGTTTAACAACATGCATGGCAAGATAAGATTTACATATAAGAGCATCGTATGTAACTCCTTTTGAAATCATTCTTATTGGTTCAGGTTAGAATTGCCTTCAGATGGGATCTGAAAGGACTGTATTTCTGAAATTAGAAAGTAATTAACTGTTAGGACTCAATAAGGGAAATATTTAGAAGTCTATATCAATATCAAAGTAAACTACAAAGTAAACTACAAAGTAAACACAGGTAGTTCTTGTTTAGTGACTACAATTGGGACCAGCAACTCGATCATTAAGCGAAGCGGTCACTAAGTGAAACCGCAACTGTGCTTATGATCTTCCTTCATGATTTCCTTTGCTTTATAGACCTGCGAAGGTTGTAAATACGAGGATTGGTCACAAAGTTACCTTTTCATCACCGTTGTAACTGAATGGACACTAAATGAGGCAGTCACTACATGAGGACTACCTGTAATCAGATACCACAGTTGATACAAAATGTCTGCATATCTAATATATCAGAGTCAGGCTTGTAATGCAAGCCATTGATTGAGCCCCAGAAACTTTCTTTTTTCAGAAGCAACCCACTGACATCAACAGTCACCCATCATCAACAGTCACCTATTGCCATAGAGAATGCTGACAATGTTAATGGTTTTCATAGCATAGAGGAAATCTTTGCAGCATTGACAGATCCTGTTAAGAAATTGGCATCCTTCCCAAGATATAATCAATGGACAGGTCGATCATGTCTGACATCATGTCCTTTGCATCGTCAGAGCTGTGGATAAGATAGTGGGTGGAAGGCACTGTGGTAAGGGCCGTCTAACTCAAGTCAGTCATGATTCAGATTTTTTTTTTTTTAGCAAAGGAATAAGGAAGCCGATAGCCAAAAGTATCTTTTGATGCTGTCTCCAGATTAATCTCCACAGGGTCCAGGTTTGATAAGCCCTCCTGGAGTCTTCAAAGCTCAAACACACCAGAAATTACATTTTACGTAATAATATGTTGAATATGATTTTGAGTTGCAGGATGGATATATTCTCAGGCATATTTTTATATGCATTATGTTGAGTATATGCATTATGCTAACTGGAAATTATCTCTGCATAAGGGCTCACTCATACTGCAGCGTAATGAGGAGAGATTTAATTCCAGATGCCTTTCAGTAGCACTATGCCAAAATGTATCCCCTCACTTTACCATCCTTTTATTAGGATATTGAATACACAGAAGGGGAAAGAGTGTGAATTTACTGGCATGGGATCATGATGTGGGTTGCTAATGGTGCTCCAGCCACCTAAAGATCCCAGAATCAACTAAAAAAAGGATTGGCTTTACTCTGATTTAGCTTTGTCATGAAGCCAACTCAAAAGGACAACAATGACTTTGGGAATCTTGTGATAGGATTTGTTTGCAACTGAGAACTCAGTTGCTGTAATTTGTGGCCCATGGAATTGGTTATGGAGAAAAGAATTCATGGGAAAGATCTTATGGAAAGAAGATTGTTCAGCCTTTCTTGAAATGTCTTCATTCCAAATGCCAGAATGACATGCTGGCTTTCACTGGTTGTAGGATTAATCACCATTCAAAAGCCATTTCCTCTTGCAGATAATGAGTATTCTTGGTATTAACATTACCTTTGCCTCCAATAACACCACTTGGAGACAATGTGGCCTTTTTTTCAGATAGATGTAGATATAAATAATTTATTTTTAAAAATATGATTCATCCTCACTTGTTTGCTGCAATAATATTTTTCCATTTTAGGGTAAGTGCCTCTCATTTGGGGCTAACCAAAAAAATCAGGAGTCTGGTAGCTTCTCTTCAGACTTAATCACATTTGTTCATCTGAAAAAGTGCTACCAGACTCCTGATTTTGGGCCACTATATATTAACATATTGTTTTATATTGATTATTTGATTGTTTTATCATACGCCACCCAGAGTCATGTATGTGGAATGGGCAGCTATATAAATGTAATAAATAAATAAATAAATAAATAAATAAATAAATAAATAAATAAATAAATAAACCTGTCCTCCTAGAATCATCTAAAGTTAATATTCCATTTAACTGGAAGCAAAATTCACGGGAATTTGGAAATACAATCTGGGGGCTTCAGAGTAATTGAAATAAGAGCAACCGAGGACAATTTCTGACCATTCCTAATGTGTCAGGTTTAAGAAGACTCTCAGGACCACCGGTTGTCAGCAAGAAGCTGCAGTTGTAGAGCAGGATCATAGAAGCAAAAGTCAGGGATCCCAAGGCAGGTAAAATTGGTTGTTGTCAAGGTAAAAGTCCATATTATCTTAGAAGCCTGTTTAGTCCCTCCAAATCAGAGAGAATCAGTGAATACAAAAGAATTAAGACACCTTTACCTAAACTTTTCCACCAGTACGCTATTGGGTCTTGCCCTGATTGGACAAGGCACCATGGAAGCTGGGGTGAAATTTGCAAAGTTTCTACAAGATAAGTGAATGGGTTAAGGAAACATTCGTGCACCTCTAAAGTCAACTTGTAAAACGATAGTGCCCTCTTCAGCCATTCCAAAACAAATGAAAAGGAAAGAATGAGGTTGCACCCCTTTTCCCTCCAACATTGCTATAAAAAGGTCTTCAAGGAGGATGCAACTGAGCTTCAGTGAACATGGTTACAACCCTTCATGGAAGCATAAACCTTGCACTGCCAGGATTTGTACATCCATGGAGACTTAAGATTGTACTCACCTAGATGTGATCACAACATCCAAGAAACAAGAGGCAGGTCCCTGATGCTCTTGCACCTGATCACCTTCTTCTTGACTTTCATACCAGATGACAGCTGAAATAGCTCAGTAATACATAGATTTGCATAAATCAAGATCCCAGGTTTAATCCCTACCATCTTTAATGAAAAGCAAGCAGATTTGGGATAACCTTGGCATGTGAATTTAGAGAACTCTCACCTAGCAGAGGAACTAATATTAAACTGATAATCTGACTCCCTACAAGGGGGTTTTGTATGAATATATGGATAAAACGCTGCCCCACAAATATATGGCCATGGATTTAGGGAACTTTTCATTCTGGTCATTGTAATGTATTAAAACAGGTGCAGCCTTCCCTGAATGTGATTCTTACAGACTCCAAGCAACCTGCAATGGATTTCAGAAGCAGGGTTGTTTTTTTTTTTTTTTTAAAGTCATTAAGATTTTTGAAAGTCCTTAAGTTGTCGCATTAGTGGCTTTCAGAATGTGAATTGTGAGAAGGGACAAGTGGTTTTTCTTTCCTTTTCCTTCAAAGGATGTTAATGGAGCATATTAGGAATGCTGAGTATAATGCATTCGTGAAATCTGTGTATATGTACATAAAATGGGGTATTTCAGTTATTATTGAGCCCCATCTGGTGGTGATATGCAAGAATAACCAATATGTATGACACTGGAACTATGTTGACTTCACAATAGTTATTGTTAAGAATTGAAATTTCTTCCATGTTTGTTTTTGGGGCATCTGCTTCCTAGGCCTATATCTCCAGACAAGTGCACTGTAGAGACATTTTTATTGCAGCAAAAGAAAAGGGCTTAATCATCTTATATAGAAATAACAAGCTCATGTGCCAAGAGTGGATCCTTAGGAAGCTAATAGACAAGCATTCACACACAAGAGGAAGGTAACAGGAGACTTTGAGTAGCCTGGACTACCTCAAAGGGCTGACATCAATCTTGAAAGCCTGAAAGCACTTCTCCCCTCTCTTGCCTTTACTTTCCAGAGAACTAGGGAGGGTCCCTTCTGAGAGGCTTTCTCCATCCCCATTCCTTCTGTGGGCTGAGAGATCTCTTATCCAACCATTGCCCTGGCTACAGCTCTTCCTCCTGTCTCCCAAGGTTATTTTCACAGCCTATTACAGATACACAGGTGTAAACTGACCTTCCGCATGCAAATGGAGTACAAAACTCTGCTTGTAAATTCATTTATCTATAGTGTCGGCTAGACTGGAAAACAAAATGTTGCTGAAATGATTGTGCTTAGGTGATGGAGAGTGACCTACTTAGGGACTCATTACTCGGCAAGAGTCATTTTCTGATATTGGCAACCATACCTCATCAGTACCCTCAGCCTGAACATCACCATTCATTTGTCTTCATCCCCTGGAAAAATCTCCACCAACTCACCCTCTGAAAGGAAAAGTGCCCTGATGCTCTCCAGATGTGTTCCAATTGCAACTTCTGGAATTCTCAGCTGAAAACCCTTGACTACATTGGCAAGAAATTCTGAGAGTTGCATCCCCAAACTATCTGAGGGCCATCAGGTTGTGGATCCTGGGTTTACTAGGATACGAATGCTATTTTAGAGCAATCATCAGCAGACTTAATGAAAAGAAATGCCCTGACACCCAACATTTTGAAGGAAACCTGAGAAATCACAAAAACGTTGATTCGTGGTTTGATATGACATATTTCAGAGTGTTCGGATCTCTTGATCTCCTATCCTGTCCTCCCCTCGCCTGCCCCACCTTCCAGGGAGAATTAACTCATATTAGGAAACAATTTCACTTGCTTACAATTTTACTGACAGTAAGTGTTGGATTTGTTTGTTTTTTTTAAACCATTGCATCATTCATCCTTTCCCCAAAACTCTTTAGTTCCTGATTTTTCATTTCAGTTCAGAAATTGATCTCCTCTTCCACAGGTAGATGCAGGCAGAAAAGTCTCATTTTCTAAGCCACAATCTAAACGCAACCATATTTGGGGCAGAGATACAGTCTACAGAGCTCTGTTGGTGGTTAGGGAGAGTATGGAGCTAGCATCAATGTCTGATTCTTTCATATGGGGATGCAGGTCTATGTAAATCCCAGATTCCTTACATAGTTCCAGCAAAGTATGGATATTACTCTGAGACAAACGAAGATACCTGCGCAAAGAAAATAAAAGGATAAGAGGTATTTAAGGCACTTTATCACCAAAGTTATTTAATTCCTTGCACTTCATAGGTTATGTTTAACTATAACGAAGTGTCATCCACTGAGACCAGATATAGGGAGATACAGAACTGATAGCACAGCACATAGCGGAACTTGCTGCAGTCGTAGGCCATAATGGCCACCAATTTTGATGGTTTTAAAGGGGGTCTGGACTAATTAATGGACTAGCAATGGTAATTTGTTTTTGATGGCCATTTTCTCCAGCATCACAGGTATTTTACTTTTGATATCAGCTACTACAAGCAACAATAGAAGAAGGATATGGCCTTCCTGTCTATACTTCCTAAATGTATCTGGCTGGCCACGGAGGGATACAGAATGTTGGACCCAACGGGCAGTTGCCATGACCTAGTGATGAACGGGTTGATACTTGACATGCCAAAACTGGGGAGCAATCTGGAACCCAAAGTGGCTGAAGGACTCTATCTCTGCTCTCTCTCTTGACAGTCAAGACATAGATGGCACAACTGGGTGAGGAGCAATCAAAGCACAAACACAAATGGAAGCAGGTAGGTAGAGCTGAAGACACACAGAAGAATTGTTTCAAGGAAACTCAACATGGAACGAGGTAAAGAATAGCAGAAAAAAGCAGGCTTACCAGAGAGCTGTAGAGATCCTGGGCATCCATTTACAGTGGGGTCAAGGGGAACAAGTGACATTATACATGACATGACAGCATCACACCAAAAACACAACAATGCAAATTACATTGTTTGCATCACTTGGATGATGTTATCTTGGCTTTGGGGGCTGTTGATCAGCAGATCTCATTATCTTGCTGGGAAATGAAGTCAAGGACAATGGGAAAACTGGTTGCTCTTTAGTGAACCTATATTTTACGGATGAGTGGCAGAGATCAATGGTGCTACAATTGTTCTAAGGCTATAACTCTTCCCCTCTCCTTTTCCCCTTCACATCCTCTTCTCTTAGACGGCAACATCTCAGTCTTGCTTTTAATCATTGTTAGCTGCCTAGAGTAATGTATTTGAGAAGGGTGGTTATATAAAAACAGATATTTTCTCAATTTCTTCTAAATTTCAAGAATAGCTTGGCTGTGTTGCTGAGAGACACTGAGGGGCAAGCATGCTTACTGGGCAAAATATCTTGACAAATCATTGAAGGGAGAAATAGAAAACTGGAGGAAGCAGGAATGGAATGAAATATCTGGAATCCTGAATTGGAGAACTTCATAATATTACAATTGTTTCTATATCTCAAGTGTCCAGGATGTGCATGCTAAAGGAATTTTCTGTATTTGGCTATAGGAGGAATGGAACCCCAAATCTGCAGAAGAACAAAATAAAATGGGAAAACATTCCAAATAGTTTGAGAGTCCTCAAAATAGCCACCTGGGAATACAGAATGCTCAGGAACCATGAAATGCTAACAGTTTTGCTGAGTTGGGGACAAGGTTGACCAAAAAAAAAAAAAACACCCGGGGGGGATGAAACTATTTGTTCATGGACCCCACAGAGATGATGTTGCTAACCTGCAGCTCAAAATTTCCTCAGGTTTAATCTCAGGCAATGGCTGTGGGACTTTGAAGTTCTCGTCTTCTCTTTCCTTTTCAAGCATGTCTTTGAGCTTCTTCTGCAAAGCAGAGAATCCAGTCATGGGACTCTGAAAGTAGAGGGATGAAAGTGAGAGCTTCTCTTTTTTGGTTGATATGCGTTGCAAGGAAGGGAACAAGGCAACTGCCTCTTGGAGAGATATGCTGTTCTCTAAGTTGGGTTGTTTAGAAGTTCTGGCCTTCCGAATCTCCCTGTTAGGTGAGGTCATGCCATAGATGGTGTTCCGAGGAGCATTTGCATTCCTGGCTGAGAGGGTCTGAACAGGCAAATCCATTCCACTGAAGGGCGTGAGGTTCTTGGGATGTTTCCGGTCTGGGGAAAAATATCAAGAATGTTATACTTGGAAAAAGAGCAACCCACCAGGAATTCTCACTCCACCTTTCTTGGAGAAGAATTGTCATACTCCAACTTCTATGAGCATTGCTCATGGTCAGGGTGATGAGAGTTGTAGTCTAGCAACATTTGCAACGTGCCAAGTTTGCACATCACTGTTTTGGGTAATGTTGTCCAAACTCAGCCACTGGCATGATAGCAGCATGTTGAGGAAACTCAGCTCATTGTGGCTTAATTAAAAAAAAAAGTGTGATTAACCAATCCCTTGTTTAATATGTGAGAACAAGAACTCAGAATTAAATACTGTACATACTTGTGGGTAAGCCAAGAATTTTAGGTTCCAAAATACACACCCCAAATTGGGTTTGGCTTATCCACAGTTGGGCTTATCTATGAGTATATACAGTACAGGTAGTTCTCCTTTAGCAAGCACAATTGGGACTGGCAACTCAGTCATTAAGTGAAGCAGTCACTGAGTAAAACCATGACTGTGCTTACAGTCTGACTTCAGCTTTCTTTTGCTTTACAGTCCTGTGAAGGTTGTAAATGCAGGCACTGGTTGTAAAGTTACCTTTTCATCACTGTCGTAACTGCAAATGATTGCTAAACGAGGCAGTCGCTAAACAAGTACTACCTGTACATTTAGATAAGACTTGTTTGGAAATACAAACTTTGTGAGCTTTAACTGTTTTTTAAAAAAAATAAATAGTGCACTCAAAGCAGGAATGGGATGAATGCATGCAAACCGGGCACAAAGTGGAAGGTAAGTCATCTGTCCATCTTTTAAGTCAGCTCTCTCCCAAATTTGTATCTTCCAGATTATCAGAATCTCGGATATCATGCACATTGACTATGCTGGCTGGACATTCTGAGAACTGCTGTTTTATCCCAGCTGGAAGACACCAGGTTATGTAGCACAGCACCTTCATGATACATTGCTGGTGAAATGATTATTCTGGACGTGGCATATACTACAGAATAGTGTTTCTTAAAGTATAGAGTTTGCAGTGCTTGTATTCTCATTATGTCCATTCAATTTAAAAGCCACCTCAATCATCTAAGCAATTTTAAGTGATGTAAAACATATTAAAGCGATAAAACAGCTCGTAACTTGAAGACATTTGGTGCGCTGTTCTGCATTTGAGATCTATTCTGTTTTAGTAACCATACAAGCACCCTATCTGTGAATGTGTGATGGAATGGAATTATGAAGGCCAAGTTCAGGGAGATAAACATTTTCTTAGCTCCCCAGAAGAGCATGGGAGGAACAAGAGGATGAGA